TCAATTTCATTCATTATACAGTAAGTCCATGACTTAAAAATGAATATTCTCTGTTCCAGGAGAATATTCCTCATTTGAATTCATTTTTAATTGTGACAAGTAAATCTTTTGTACCTTTGACACAAAAATACAATGTAAAGGGGCTGGGGATTTAGCTCAGCGGCGTAAGCACCTGCCTTGCAAGCAGGCGGTCATGAGTTCGATCCCCGGTACCGGAAAAAAAAAAAATACAATGTAAAGCATAAAAAGAGCATACACTGTATAACTGTATACTACCACATTATCCAGTAAGCACATAGTGGCAAATACAGCAGACACAGGATTGGGTTCTCATCCAATTCAGTTTGCAACAAGAAACATGAAAAGAATCAAGGTACCGAAATATCACATTCCATGATTTGTTCACATCAATGAATGTTTGTAATCTGAGGTCCCTTTGTGTCTGTGAAAGTTCATAACTGGAATGTTCCTAATTCAGGAACTTACAGTACATCCCATATTTTATATTTACCCCACCTCCAATTTTATGGCTGAGGTAGTTTGAAACACTCTTTTCTATTGTGAAACAACGAAGTGTATAAAAGCTATTATCTACTAAATGAGTCATTTGTCTAACACAAGATAATTGTTTTCCCCAAAGCCTTTGCAGAAAATGTAAGCATTACTTAAAAATTATATAATCCTCATTATATTTCAAAATATACCCTTATAATCGGTTACAGTGTATAGACTGAAACACTTAAGTATTTTCCAGTAGATCTGACTAGACTCAGCACCAATATATTATATCCTATATTCACATAATAATGGCACGGCTTATTCCTAGTACATTATTAAAATGTCATTTTGACATATGAAAATCTGCTATTAATAACTGGGGTAACATACTGTATTGATTTTTAATTGAAAGTAAATTGAAGATTTATTATCTCATTCCTAAATCCACTTATCTATGCAATAGCCATGGATGCTACCTGTTCAGTAGCATCAAAAATAGAAAGATGTGAGCCAAAATAAGAATCATTGGCTAAAACTATGCAGAATTTTTTTTTAAAAATCCCATCGATGTTACAGTAAGCTTTGTTTTTGTATCAAATGATGTTTTAAAATTCCAGTCGCAATAAGTCAGTCTCCCAGCTCAGAAGTTTCTTATTGTTGTACAGCACCAAGGAGCCACCCTTATTTATTACCAATAATAAAACTATAGAGCTAAAATAATCAATTTCAAGTCAATTCAGTTGTAATATTGCAGTGAGACAATGTATAAATAATGCAAATAAACTAAACAGTGAAAGGCTCATTGCCTTATAATTAGAAGCAGTCAGCTTTGAACTTCACCCACCCAGCACTGACATTTCTGCCGTGCATTGTCAGGGAGAAGTTGTCTCTTACTCTTGCTTCTCATTTGTGCCTTTTATGAAACTCCTGTTGACCCTGTTATGCCATAGGATGGGAAGATGGATACAGCCATGGTTCTATAAAATACATATACAACCAAAATTTACAAATACCATTCATGGTGTGAAATCATCCTTAGTTTCCAGAAGGCAACTGTATGCACTCTTTTCCTCAATTCTTGTTTTTATTTTCTTTTTCCAATGTGTAATGAAGTTCAACTAGCTTAGGACAATAAGGGAAATCAGAAGTGGATGAAGAGACTCACCTCACTTTTACAAACTATCAACTTCCTATTAGAGGCATTAGATCTCTCATCTTGAGAGACTAACAATCTGTGAATAGAATTCTGCTATGTCCAAATAACTACAAAATCCATAAATTATTACATTTTAAATTAAAGCAATATTTATGTGGAAATAAATTTTCAATAACTTCAAAAAATTTCTGTGAAGTGAATCTTGTTGAATTAATACATCATTCAATGAACTAGTGCTTTAACCGTGCTGTTTTTAAGTGGAAATATTAATGGTATTACAAGGTAAAAAAGCAATTAAAATATTTTTAGCTGGCCTTCCCTGGCCTTTCCTTTTAGAATCCTATTTTGATCTGTAATATCAAAGTGGTCTTTTTCTTCTGAATGTGTGGTTTCTTTCATTCCCATGCAAGAGTAGATTTTTGAATATTGATGTATACTCTAGCTAATAGACACTACAGAAATCCTGAGAATTTTTTATAATAGCTGAGGTTTCATTAAACTGAATTCTCAAGTGACTCCTTAGAGTTTAATTATCAAATAACTTTGGGTGTGAAAGTAACACATAAGCATGGATTGAGCAGCCCATGAGCAGCGTGATCTTTTGCTTTTGGGTAATGGACATAAAGCTTTGTATGCAGTGAGGGCAAACAATTGGGCTTATGGTGCTTGTGCCAGTAAATAGACTAGTACAAGACATAAGCCAGTTTCCTTTACAGAATACCCATCGCAACAGCCAGAAGCCTGCCCGAGTCATGGGAAGCCATATTTTCACTATCTTGTCTTAGCTGCTCACAGGTATTTCACATTTTATTCTAATGGCAGTGAGTGCTGATTGTCAGCATCTTCATTTGCTCTCATAAAAAAGAAAGAAAGATCATAGCTGTTTTAAGTTAAACTTTCTTTAAAATTCAGCAGAATATAAAAAGCCATTAAATTTGAAAGGTGAGGTTGATAATTTATTTTGTTTGGAGTATGTTTAACAACTGTCTCGGTTGTTAAATGGGCCGTGAGTGAATTGGGAACTCAGGTGGCAATGCTCAAAAGATGCCTGTCAGTGAGACTGCTTGATGCTTGGAAGTTGTTCTGCTCACCTGAGACAACAAGGTGTTGATAGAGAGCCCCCAAACTGGGATAAAGCTGACACCAGTTATTTGGTGGTTGGTCATTTGTAGAAGTGAGGTGAGTCCCTTCATCCACTTCTGATTTCAGTGATGAACTCTGCTTATGAGACAGGTGCAGAACACTTCATGTGCCCACATAGAGCCCAAACACAGGTGCTTGAATGGGTAAAAGAGTGCTTTGCATCCAATGAGAGCTAAATGAGACACTGCATTAATATCAACAGTGAGGAACTGTTTGCTTTTATATCGCAGTGTAGCAGCATAACACTAATGTGTTGATTCTCATAGGCACATGATTTTGTATCTTATATTACCTAAATTTGAAGTTATAAATTCCTGACTGACAGAGTAAAAACCAAAACAAAAATCAACCAATAAGGAAATACATTTTGTTGAGAGAATGTAATAAATGTTTGAATTATTTCTTGTACTAAGGGAAGTGGGAGATTAAAACAAAGTCCCATGACAAGAAACGCTACCTGTCATACATAACACATCTTCATAGCGCCTTTGCCTAATGTATGACTGTAGTCATTCTTCCAAGTTTCAGCTCTTAGTAGTAGAGGGAAACAGTTTTGTAAAACAGGGCTGCCATGAAAGCTCATCTGATAAACATGGGTATAATTTGGGGTGAAACTGGACAGAGGGAGCAGAATGTGATAGAATAGGATTGATAATTTGTTCCTTCCTCAAATTTTCATTTATTCTAAAGCAAAAGGGTAAATATGATTGGCCAGATAGCAATATAGAAGAGTCAAGAAATGTTTCTGTTTTCTGTTTTAGACATCTCTGTCTGCTGGGCCATGAGAGTGGCTTTACTTACTGGAGTCAAAGATTATCAATAGTCTATTGTTATTCTTAGTATCTTAGTTGTAACTATTATGGCTGTGTGTGTGTGTGTGTGTGTGTGTGTGTGGTGCTGGTGACAGAACCCAAGAATCACTGAGCTAGATCCACGCCCCTTTGATTTTTTTTTTTTTTTTTTTTTTTTTTTGGCAGAGCTTTTCTAAGTTTCTCATTCTGGCCTTAAACTCACCATCCTCCTGCTTCAGCCACCAAATATAGCACTCCAGCTAAGTGCTGTGTTATTTAAAACAGGAAAGAGCCCAAACCGAAGGAACTACAACTGAGCTGGGTTGTATTTCAAGGTATTGATATCAATCATTACATTAGTGCTAATGATTCTCCTAGAGCCTACTCTATGCTGATGCTAACATGAACTCTGCATGGCAGGATGTTTAAACCCCATGAATGTGTAGGGGCTGTTGTAGCTGTGGTCCGAACTGACTCATAAGTTAGAAATGAAAACTGGAGGCTTCTGTACCTCTGACCACTCTATGTTTAGGTGTCTTACAGAGTAACTGGTTATCAGAATATATGACAAAAAAGATGCAGAGGAAATTTCTTAGGGCCAAAACGACTTCTCTGACGCTACTATAACACCTAAAATATTAATTTTCACACTTTGAGTACTTTATAGTTCTTTATCTTTTCTTTGTTTTTCTCCTTGACACAGCCCAAATAAAGAAGAGTACCAGTATAAATCTGACTGGACTATGAGAGACAGAGACAGAGAGACAGAGCAACAGAGACAGACAAAGAGAAACAGAGAAAGAGACAGACAGAGAGAATCCTTCTGTGAAATTTCCTAGGCATTGTTTCAATTTCAAAATTTTTCTGGGAAACTATATGAAATAAAGACAGATAAACAACTATTTCTTATAATCAAATTTGTTATATCACAATATAAAGAGTATCAATATAAAAACAAATGAGACAGTATGATGTAAAGGTTATTGAGAGGAAATCCCTTGTCATTTTTCTCAAACAAAAACTGTTTAGAAATACATGCTATTATAAATTTCACTGTGCCATAGATAGCAAAGTTAAGTTCAAGTCTATACATGTCCACAATAAAGGACTGCAATTTGCTTTGGCATATGATAGTGTAAATGTACAAATATGTGTTCTGTGCTATTGTAAATGCCAAGTCATTTAGTGTGATATGGATCATGGTTCTTAACTAGAAGTGTGTATCACTGTCAAATGTGTTGCTTTAAAAATAGAGATGTCACAACCCTGCTTGCATTGAATGGATACATTTCTGAGGTAGAAGTCTAGAAAGGTGTATTTCTAAAACTCTCCAAGTGATTTTGACATGCACTATGAATAATCAGTAGTGTATCAAAATATATGTGGAACATATTAATATATTAATATTGCAGATATTTAAAGAAGTTAATTTGAGCTGAGATTTACAAAACATGGTGCCATAGAAGAAATAAGATTTCAAAGGAAGTTCATATGTGGACAGAGGTAAGCGAAACTTTTTTTTTTTTTTTTGCTTTTTTAGCATAAAATAAAATCTTGATTTTTAAGGTTATTTTGCATTTCAGATTCCTAACTGCATTAGATCCAGTCTGTTAGATCCATTGTTCTTGAAAAAGTAATCAAGCTTGTACCAATACATGCCTAAAAACAAACTATTTTGTAGTATATCTATGATAGGATCAAATGTAAATCAGATTTAACATCCTCTGTGATGGCTAATATTTATTATTGATTGATATTTATATACACAATCAAAAATTTAATAACGACTAGTGACTACACTTTAGACTGCAAACTCCCAAAGCTCAGGGTTCATATTTTATTCAATTCTTCTTTGCTAGTTCTTTAACATAGGGACTGTTGTTCTAAGATACGCATAATACATATTTACTGAATGAGTGAGACATTTGAATTTACTTAGTTTACTCATTCTACCTTGCTTGTGAGGAAAATTGCATTGATCTCCTTTGGGATGATCAAATGTTTTAGTAAAATTTGGGGGCTGTTTCTTTGTTTTTCGATCTGCAACCAAGGGCTGCCAAAGACTTCACAGTCATTAGCTTGTAAGAGTAAGCTTTTATGTCTTTTGTTTCTCGGAAAACAGCTAAATGGAAAAAAGATGCAAGAGATAAGGGGATTGTATGCACGTTAATAGCAGGGTGTCCTTTTAAACTTCAGCTCAGAACCTCTGCACAACTCCTGTTCAGTCCAGTCTCTCCTCTTGGGGCATCACCAAAACTATCCCACGGGCAGGAGCAAGGCTTGGAAAATTTCCCAAGCTTTCCCAAGAGCTACGTGCAGAGCCTGTGTTTTTGTAGGAGAGAACTGTTTTGTCACTGTTCCATATTGGGCTGTAGTAGAACCCTAAGGCCCTGCCAGAAGATCACAAAGAATATTCATCTCATTCTGCAGTGCAGAACTCCCAGCACAGGTGAAGCCAAGCTTCCCTGACCTTCATTGTATTGGGGGATGGAGAGGGAGGAGGCTCATATTTTCCCTGTGGAATTTTATAATACATTTGAAAACAGTTTCATAGGGATAAAATAGTAAGAAGAGAGACTGAAAAGAAAACAAAATACTGATGGAAAAGAAAATGATGAGCTGATCTCAGAGAGCTTTGATGACCTCATTCATACAGTGCCAGTTTGCTGCTTAAAAACAAGCATGGATTTTGGAATCAGGGCAGAGGCAGTTGATAGCTGGGCCTAGAGGCTGCTGTCACATGGCAGCACCATATCAGCTCATCCCTGATGCCACCAAGGGAAGTTTTGGTTATTTCTCCACAGATGGCTTCTATTCAGCTGACATGGCCCTAAGATTTAAAGCCATAAAGGCCACCCCCCACAGAGTATTCAGTGACATCTCCATATTCTAATATGTGGAATTCAAAACTTGGATCCAACCCTAGAACTTCGAAACTGCAAAAGGGAATCTTAGTATCCATATTGGCTGCAAAATAAGTTTATGGAACTGAGGTTTGGGAAACACCTGATACCTTGCTCCAGGCCTGTATCTGCTGGGCATCTTGGGGATGGGGGCTTTTTTTGGTCTCCCTGCACTTCTGACCTGGTGCTTTGTGGTTGATTCATCTCAGAAAAGTCTTATAATCATCCTGGTAAAAGCATACTAAAAATAAACATGATTACTACTTATGCAAGGTTTAATAACACATAACGAAATAGTTTAACTCACATCCGATCACATAAAAATTGAAAGTAAAATTAATTCATATTTTTAATTTTTAAGGTTATTTCTAGAATGGACCATGTCATCTCCAATACAGTGGTAATTTTAATCAGTGATAGTAAGCTGGTCCCATTGGTAAGGCTCAGGAGAGCTACATGTGTCCATGCCATCTCCACTGAGCTTCAGGGACATCTTTGGTAGCTTAATGGATGTTGATGAGTCCATTTATGCCATAGGAAAATGCTATAATCCAGGACTTTAATTTCTCTTATAGAGAGCCAATGAGCCAGTTTATTAGCACACCACCGAATTATATGCACATTTTAGAAGAAAGGGACCCAATATAAACAGAAATCTCTATAATTAGAAATTTTGCTTACTGAGTAAATATTTAAGTAAGATGCTGCTTAAGAGTGATAGTATTTGGTTAGACTATACATCTTTTGTTTGTTATCAGTTAATGAAAGCTGGGAGCCATAGTCTCCTTATCCTTAAAATGAGAACATAACAGTACCTACTACATAGGACTCTTGATGAAACAAGCTAGCATATGTGACACACTGCAGAAAATGTTTGGTGTGGAGAACAACATGCTTGATGAGTGCATTCTCTTAATATCAACAGGAGAGGAGACAGTAGGGCTGTTCAGCCTTCTCCTGAAACACTGCCTCTTTTCAGTTTTTCTTGTTGAGGTTTTATATGTTTTAGAAACTTATACCCAACTGCCACAAGTTTTGTAAAGTTGGTTAAATGAAAGCACATCTAATCACTGACATGCACAAAGCACTATGTAAATGAAAAGTACAATAATTATGTTAAAGGCTTCACCTTGCATTTTGCTTATACTGCATCTGTGAAATGAGCATCAGATTTTTCTCTCAGCAGTTAGTGCTTGTACAGAAACAAACAGATGGTACCTAACCTCCTGCTGCATCGTTTCAGGCGATAGTGTTTATCAAAATATTGATGGCCACTAAATTTACAGAGACCCAACTCAGTGTTGGTCCAGCACAACCATTTAGACAAATAAGGCTTCAATAGCTGTTCCAAAGACTTTCCCATGTGTGGCATCCCCTAGCACAACAAAGAGAAAACCTTGCATGTAGGCAGTTTCACAAAATAGGATGTTAACATGAAATCTCTTTTAGAGAAAAACACTGGCTTGTCTTTTCTGATGAACATTTCTAAGTAAAGCAGAATCAGTTTTTGTGACTGTGCATGCGCCCAGTTCCCACTGACCTAGCCAGGTGAGGCAGGGGGGAGGAAACCGGTCTTAAGGATAGGTTCTTCCGGGGCTGGGGGTTTAGCTCAGCGGCATAAGCGCCTGCCTTGAAAGCAGGCAGTCGTGAGTTCGATCCCTGGTACCGATAAAAAGGAAAAAGACAAAAAAAAAAAAAAAAAAAAAAAAGGATAGGTTCTATTCTGGGGCTTTCTGTTCTTGAATCCATTTTCAGCTGATCCCAGCTTCCTTTCCCAGACATCTGTTTCCCTGCATTCGCCGGCTTCCACGCAGCCTTGGGGCTGGAGATGTGGACAGCAGGGTAGGAGAGGGCCAGGAGGAGATGCCACTGACTTTGTCCCCTAGCCTTTCCAGCAGCAGTCTCTCCCTGGCCTCTCCAGTTTGGCTGGCTTCCATTCCCGCCCTGTCATGAGAAGCTGCGTGTGGCAGGTGTCACCAGCCCATGGCTGCCACAGTGCTGCTGGTTTCGGAGTTGTCTCACTCTCTTCTGGTTTGCTTGTTCAATCTCTGATCAGCTGTCTCTTCTTTGCTGAATTCCTTGCATGGTAGTCCTGCCCTTTGGGTACTGCACGTAATCTCATTTTCTGTTTGGGCACTGACTCTGCAGTCTGACTAGGCGCCCTGTGCAAAACAAGGTCTCAGTGTGACTGTTCAGCAGGCCACGCTCCTGCTCTGACTGACCTGAGACTCTCGGGAGCTGCACGGCAGCCAGGCCTACTGCTTCTCCTTCACCTCCAAGACTCTCCTCCAAGCCCACTCTGCTCCATGACCCACAGGGACACTGAGTGTGTTTCTCTAAGATTGCTAATGCCAGTGTCAGAGGTCCTCAAGCAGCATCTTGTTTATGAACCTGGCTGGAGGAGGCAAGCTTATCGCCCATGTGCTTCCTAGCACGGTAGAGAGCAATGAAGCCCTGCTGGGTTCACGTAGCTGCTCCGCCTGTCCTGTCTGCTCAATCCCATTCTCCGGGCACCACTTCCACTCACGCACAGGTGGTTAATCTTTCCCAGAACCTTTCCACACGGAGAAATGACAGGATTTTGTTAGTAACCATTTGGAAATTGTATTCTTTGTGCTTTCTATCCAACAAAGAAAATTTGAGCCATAAATCAACTCCATATCTTAAAAATTAACCTTAATTTTCCCAAAAGTCCTTTAATATTGAAGCCTCCAGTGAGAGTCTTGCATCCTTTCATGTGTTAACCTCTTTTACACTTTAAACATCAAAACATGTATTAACCGTGCATCTAAAAACACTATATTACAAAGTCTTCCTTGTTTTTCCCCATGCCTACCATTCTTTTGCCTGGATCCTCTTCCTAAAATAATTTTTGTCTTTTGCTTTCTTTCACTGGGGATGTGAATTTTCAGCCACTACTCCTCTGCCCAGGAGTGTCCTTGAGCTGTGCCTGCCTTGTGTGTACATTAAGGTACATGCAGATTCCGTTTCCCTTCAGACACACACCTGTGCGAGGAAATGTCTGGCCCTTCCTGCCGATACCCAGGACCTTCACTGGCACTTGGCATTTGTTCAAAACACATTTGTCAGATCTTAACAATACTTCACATTCCAGACAAAAATTAACTTCTTGAAAAGGAAGATTTTTAATTTTTAATCATTTTAGTATTAGCAAGATTTTACTTACACACTGGTTATTTTTAAATATGTGCTGTTTGTGACCTGCCTGTAGAAGCTTTTCTGCCTTTGTTGAACAGCACTGGTGCAGAGGGAAATAGGTGCAGAGGAGGAGGCTAGCGCTTGAGCTGGTTTAGAGGAAGCTCCTCCAGTCTTTGTCGTATTCAGTGTTCACCAGAAGCTGTAGCCTCTGAGTTGTCTTCCTAAATTTAAGTCTTTACCATTTGTGTCCATCTAAATATATCCCCACCACCCCATCATCAATTAAGTAAATGCTACATCAATAAATCCTTTCCTTGAGAAGGGGTGAGCTGGTAGGCTCAGTAGGCTTTGTTTGTTCCATTTATCACAGCTTTCTCCACACGTGGTCCATTGCCTCTGGTTTCACTCCTCGGGCGTCTGTTTATTCTACCCAATTACACT